GCAGAGTTAGAGAGAAAGGTCTTCCTTCTGTTGGTTCACGCCCCTAAATGGCCACCATGGCCGGCGCGCTGCACCAATCCGAAGCCAGGAGCTTCCTCCTGGTCTCCCATGTGGGTGCAGGGCCCAAGCACTTGGGCCATCCTCCACTGCCTTCCCAGGCCACAGCAGAGAGCTGGACTGGAAGAGGAGCAACCGGGACAGAATCCGGCACCCCAATCAGGACTAGAACCTGTGGTGCCGGCACCGCAGGCGGAGGATTAGCCTAGTGAGCCATGGCGCCAGCCCCCACAGCTTTTAAAATCCTCTTATCACACTGACTACAATTTATGACTATACTTCAGTCCCTCCTCCAAACAATGGATTCTTTAAAGCCAGGGACCATATCTTGTTCATTTTTAATTCCTAGCTACCATCTGTATGTAATAATAAATAGTGAATAATATTGACTGACTGACTGACTGGAGAATGAATAAGTAATCCTATGGAATGATGCTAGCAAGGCATTAAATCAGTATTTTCAGTCAATTGCAAGAAAGGACATTTAAATACATTATTTCCAATAAATATCCTAAAAACATAACTAAGCAACCTATATATTAATGGTTCTATCCTCATCATCCATACCCATTTTCTTTTTGTCTTATTTTTCTCCACATTTCATTCTTAACATGACTTCCTTCTGGCCTTCCTTTTTTGCCTGTGGCTCAGGTCAACCAACAGTGCTTCTCACACTAATTTTTTCTACAATGAAAGCAGCCATTGATCTTTGGTGAAATATATTACTAGGGTTGGCTTATATATAGTCAGAGTAGGTTATCACCTTTAAAAAATGTTTGTTTATTTATTTACAAATCAGACAGTGAAAGGGAGAAACAGGGAAATCTATATGTTGTTCACTCTCCAGATGTCCATCCTGGTCTCTCATATGGGTGGCAGGGACCCAAGTACTTGGGGAATCCTCTGATGCCTTCCCAGGTACATTATCAGGAAACTAGATCAGAGGCACAGCAACTGGGACTTGAACCAACATTCTTTTAAAAAAAAAAAAAAAAAGATTTATTTATTTATTTGAAGGTCAGAGTTACACAGAGAGAGGAGAGGCAGAGAGAGAAAGTCTTCTATCTACTGGTTTACTCCCCAGTTGGCCGCAATGGCCGGAGCTGCACCGATCCGAAGCCAGGAGCCAGGAACTACCTCCAGGTCTCGCACGCAGGTGCAGGGCCCAAGGACATAGGCCATCTTCTATTGCTTTTCCAGGCCATAGCAGAGGGCCGGATTGGAAGTGGAGCAGCCGGGACTCAAACCGGCGCCCATATGGGATGCTGGCACTGCAGGAAGAGGCTTTACCCATTATGCCACAGTGACAGCCCCTGAAACAGCATTCTAATAGGGGATGTTGGCTTTGCAAGTGGCAGCTTAACCTGCTATGCCACAACACTGGCCTTGGCAATCACTTTTGCAGGATGATGTCAGGGCACTGAGATGCTACTACCTCTAAAACATCCTTTTTCCATTTATGAACTTTCTTCTTTTGGTTGAAAGCTCTGATCTTTATCAGGATTCATAAAACAGAGTAGTTATCTATTTTTTAATTATTTATTTATTCATTTTAGAGGCAGAGTTAAAGACAGAAAGAGGGAAAGACAGAGAAAGATCTTCCATCCGCTGGTTTACTCCTCAATTGACTGCAATACCTGGAGTTGAGCCGATCCAAAGCCAGGAGTTTCTTTTGGGTTGCCCACATGGGTACAGGGCCCAAGAACTTGGGACATCTTCCACTGTTTCCCTAGGCCATAAGCAGAGAGCTGGATTGGAAGAGGAGCATCCAGGACATGAACTGGTGCCCATATGGGATGCTGGCACTGCAGGCAGAGGCTTAGCCTACTACGCCACAGAGCCAGCCCCAAAGTACTTATCTAATCTTTTAGAAACCATCAGAACCAGGAGTTCTTCTAATAGAGAGTCTACACCATATGGGACCCAGGCTCTTGGCAGTTACCTGATTCCTACCTTATTGTAATGTCCTCATGTGTGCTATATACCAGATGATAAGGACTACTGGACTGTAAGTTAGGATGTCACAAACATGTTTGGACTCATGTTTCAGTAAAGTGACCATTAAGAAAAGGAAAGAAACTTTCATCCATACAGGATTAAATTATTTTAAAAAGTCAAGTACTCTTTAGGGTGGAATGCATATGAGATCCCTTTTAGGAGAAAGGAGGAAACCACCAGGCAGCTAGAGGATGTGGGATGAGGAACAGTGTGGGAAGAGGAGGCAGAAAGAAGAAACAAATAGGATGCTTGGAACACAGTTGAGTAACTATCATTTTTTTCATCAGAGGTCTGCAGATTTGTAACCAGTCAAGAACATGTATGAAACAGAGGGACTAGTTCTCAGAAGGGTAGTGTTGAAGGAAGACAAATGAGAAAGAAAATAAAGATCAGTTCACTGCCAGTCTCCTAGAGTCCAAGAAGCACCAGTAGCATGTTCACCTAAGGCCCTAGTCAGTAGAGTGGCTCCTAGACTTTCAGTGTTGCCCACAGCAACAGACCATGTCATCTCAAGTAGGGAAGGAGGGCTTCTCCTCCCAGGAGAGGCCCACCTCTGTAGTCAAGGTACCTTACACCTTATTTATGGGCAGGGTCCTGGCTTACGTAGGAAGGGTTTCTTGTGACTTTACTCAGTATTCTTCACCTTGGCTCAGCCATGTCCTGTGGATGATTTTGTGTTCAGTAACTATTTTGGGGAGTGGGACACCATGTGTCATAAATGTGTGGTCCTGGACCAGTGGCAGTCCATGAACTGTTTGTTACTGACTCACAATCAGATTAGTGCAGATATTGAGACTATGTATTGAGAACCATTTATAGCTATCTGAAAAGACATCCCAGCACAAGTCAGTGGGCTTTATTTTGCACATCATTTCAGTATTTCATTTTATATTTTCCAAAACTATCAACCTATGATGAATATTCCTAAAAGTTAAAATAAAACTGTTCTTTCACTACAATGAAGTGCTGGTCTAGCCAATATTGCTCAGCTGAAAGTAGCTAGAATGTCTGTAGTCTTCCCTTTGACATCCTAAAAACTTTATTCTCTGCTCCTGTGGGCATAAATCTCCCTGCTTTCTCTTGCTATGAGTGCAAAGTTCAGAAAGAATGCAAGTTGCTGCACTGCTTGACTACATGCTGTGTACTGCCTGTGTTTTAATGATTCATGAGTTAGACCCCATAGAATTGTGCCCACAACAGAAAGAAGGACCTTAGAACACAGCCTCTTTGAAAAACTGCTTCAGAAACTGCAATATTCAGTCACCATTACCTCATATTCCCCAACTCCTGACTTGTGGCTAAGAAAATATTGACAGGTATTGAGTCATTCTATTCAAATTCACTTAGTCTAAAAGTACAGCCCTAAAATACACTTACCACACCCAGTTCACAAGGTTAAACTATGGATGAGAAACACTGTAGGGACATGATACGAAGTAAAGTAGTAGTTTCGGACATAGAAAGGAGGAAGTAAAAATAGCTCCTTCTACTGTTCTGCCTTATTATGACCTGTGCCACATATCACAGAGCTAGCCTTTAATAAGCAAAAGCATACTGCAAAGATCAAACATCTTTTTTTAAAAAAAAGATTTATTATTTATTTGAAAGGCAAGAGAGAGACAAAGACAGAGATGAAGAGAGACAAATAGACATCAATTTTCCACCCACTGGTTCACTCCCCAAATAGCCACAGTTGTCAGGGCTACAGCCAGGTTGAAGCCAGGATCCTAGAACTCATCTGGCCTCCCATGTGGATGAGAGGCGCTCAGTACTGTGGCTTTCCCAGACACATTAGCAGGAAGTTGAATCAGAAGCGGAGCAGCCAGGACTCAAATGAGTACTTCAACAGGGGATACTGGGATTGCAAGCAGTGGCTTAACTCACTGCTTAGCCCATTGACACCATTACTCTTGCCTTCTCAATTGCACTTCATCCACATAAAAACAATGTCACTGGAAATTGTCAATTTTCTTCTTGAAAAAAAAAATGCTACATGATGCTCAGACTTTATTCCCATTAATCTCACAATATCCTGGTGAGGCAACTCTGTTCCTATTTACACCTAAGACTTGAAAGACTCATCTGAGATCACACAAGGAATGCAGAAAATAGTGGACATGAGAATCGTGAAAGTTATATCATTAGCCTCAAACTGAAGAAGAGGGGCAGAACACCTAGCAGCCCCATGGGGTCATGAATAAAAATGAGCCCGCTATGAGAGCAGTAGCATCTCTGTCCCTCTGCACTTTGAGATAGAATGAATTCCTGGAAGAAGAACTGAAGTCTAATGCAGATAAAAATGTGTGATGAGCTACATTTGTCTCTGATACCCTCCTTCCCAATTTTCTCTTTTCTTCTGTGGCACTCATCCCTTCTTCCCTCAGCAGGTCAGGGCTCCCATGCTCAATACCCCTCATATCTGGCTCTTAAGAGCTACTCTCAGCTGCTTGGTGGTGAATCTAAATCACTGTGTTCTTTCTCCCATTTTTCTAATATTTTAGGTCTCACCTTTCTTTATTGAACAAAGACCTTTGGCCCATTATAGGGATTACAGGACACTGGTAAATGGGAAGTAACAAAGAGGACAAGATTAGTGTTCCTCACACCTTTTCTTGGATTTCCTGAAATATTTGCATTTTTTAAAGAGTCTTTATTGAGCACTTTTTTTAAAGAGTCTTTTTATTGAGCACTTACTATGAGTTATGGACTATTTTAAGATTTCTACATTTACCAGCTAATTAAATTCTCAAAAATCCTGTGACTAGTATTATTCCTCTTTTGAACCTGAGAAAATAAAAGTCCAAGGTCACAGTATCAATTAGTGGCTCCTACTGAGTTGTTTCAACACCTTCTCCGTGCCCCTGATACCAGTCAGGCATTTGTACTCGTAGCTTGCCAAGAAGAACACCAATCTATGAAATCCAAATGCGGCAGCTCTCCCTTACCTTGGGCTTATTGGTGATGCATCTTCTTCTTGCTCTTCTACAATTCCAGTTGGCTCTGGTGGAAGGAAAGCATCTTTGTTGACATTATTCACCCAGCTTTCCTTTGCCCCCCTTGTTCCATCCTTACTCTGCTCATCTGAAACAGGAAATGATAGAGTCAGGGTGATTACCTCTCACCTCCATGACCTATAATTCTATTGGCCTCTATCACTGAAGGCTTAAATCTGAACCCCAGGCCTTTTAAGGTCCAAGATCATCACTGAGTCTAAGTACTTTCAATCAGAATCACATCTATGAGAGAAGTAAATAGATCTCTACAATATTACTTCTTCTCCAAGCAGAGTTTATGGAGAGCACAGGTCTGCCTTTACATGTACAGGTAACTTGAGACCACTAAAGCACAATTCTGTCTGCCTCTAGGTTAACCTGACCTGAACTGGTGTCGTTACTAAATGTACACACCCAGGGGATACTAGGGCAGAGAGTCATCAATAGGAGAGAAGCATCAAACTTAAAGATCTGCTGAAATCTACAGTGTGCCCAACACAATGTTTGTCTGGGATATAAAGAGGAACAAACAATTCTAGGGTGTCCCTCTCCACTGCCTCCTCCACTTCCCCATAGTTTAAATATCCAAATTGTACATACTCCTCAACACTCAGCTCAGATGTGAGAGTCCCCATAAATCTCTTTGCTCCTTCACCAAGAAACAATGTCTTTTGCCTCTGAATCCCAGGACTCCTTTTTTACCTGAAATTCTCTGATAATTAGCACTGACTGAGTGATGACTAACTACCAAGCACTGTTCTAAGTGCTTTTCAAGCTTTATCCCTTGAGGGGGGAGTTCCAAGTTAACACATTTGGAAATTGAGAGTCAAAGAGTTGCAGAAACTTGCCCAAGGCCACATATCCAGCCAGTAAAGTACCACAAATATTTCCATCAGTGTTGAGAAAAATAAAACAATACTGGAGCTCCCAATTTTCAAATGTGTCCAGGTAGCATCCCCTACAAGTCATTTCACACGTAAGTCTTTATTCAACTGCAAAATGGAATCCATAGTACAAACCAGTACACCATAAGATTTCTGAAGGTCTGAATGGTTTCAAAAAGCAAAAGAGTTGTAAGCAAAGCATTGCATATTAAGCAGTCAGCCTTTTTTGGCAAGGTGTGTGGCAGTCAGTAAGACATTGAAGCACAGTTCTTCCATTTGCCAACTATATGATCTTGGGGAAGTTACTTCTCTGAGTTTTACATACCTTATATATAGATTGAGGAAAATTACACCTACCTTACACAATTTCTGCTACAACTAGGAATCACACAGAGTAAATGTCTATCATATATTAGATGCCCAAAAGATGATAGCTACTTGGCCTTATTGATAGAGGCCAGATATAGACAGGAGTTTTCACCAACTAATCCAGAGACAAATTGAGGAGCTGATAAATATTGGAAGAACTCTTAAAATTCTTTGAAAATCCTCAAAAAATACTGCCTTTACAGTCTTTTAAATAATGTACTTGCTTGATTGAAGAAGTACCAAAAATATCATTGAATGGGGAGACTGACTTCTTCCTGTCTAAATCCTTCACCTTGCTCAAAAGGTTCTGAATCTTCAAAATTAAAAGCCAAGGAAGAGGTGTCAGATTCCTTATGAACCCCAATTTTCTATGCTACTGTAACTCCATATGGTACCTATTAGGCTCCATATTCTTGTCTGCTCCACAATGAGGCACATAACCCTGCCCTCATTCATTAAAATCCAGGGCAAGAGGATTTTTGAGCTGGAGGATAACACATTATGCAAAGCACACCTCCAAACAATTTCCCTCAGCAGGTTTCAATAATGACTGTTACACCTGTCCCTTCTCCTAACTCCTCCTTCCTACACAAATGCTGGTGTTAAGAACATTGGCCGGCTGGCACCGCGGCTCACTAGGCTAATCCTCCGCCTTGCGGCGCCAGCACACCGGGTTCTAGTCCCAGTCGGGGCGCCGGATTCTGTCCTGGTTGCCCCTCTTCCAGGCCAGCTCTCTGCTGTGGCCAGGGAGTGCAGTGGAGGATAGCCCAAGTGCTTGGGCCCTGCACCCTATGGGAGACCAGGATAAGTACCTGGCTCCTGCCATCGGATCAGCGCGGTTCGCCAGCCCCAGCGCGCAGGCCGCCGTGGCCATTGGAGGGTGAACCAACGGCAAAGGAAGACCTGTCTCTCTCACTGTCCACTCTGCCTGTCAAAAAAAAAAAAAAATTGGCCAATTCAACCCACCTGGTGCCTGGAGCCTCTTCTTTCTCATGGATGCTCTGATGAGATCCGCACCATGAATTTTGTCTCTGTGCCTTTTGGCCTTGGCTTCATAAAACCACTGACCAGTCATATTCTTTAGCTGTTGATCATCCTTAATTTTTTCAGGCAAATGTCTACAAAAAGAAAAGAGTTTTACTTTACTGAGAACCCACAATAAGTAAATGAATTCACCATGACATTGCATCAAGAAATTTATAAACATACAGCCAAAACAAACCTCTCAATGCTTTAGAAGAGCTCATAAACCTCCCAGATAATTAAGAAATGTATGTTTCCCTTTGATGGAAAAGTCAGAGAAGCCAAGGTCAACGCTTTTTTTTTTTCAAAGATTTAATCAATGATGTCCAGATGATGTTTGAAATTTCTGAAGAACAGACACACCTTTTGACTGCAGTCTTCTGTGTCTACTGTTCAAAGGCAAATACTCCAAGGAGAGATGATATAGTAAGCTTCCCTAAGTCTTGGTTTTTTTATATGTAAAAAGGGGTTAATAATAATAATCCATCGCTTCTCAGCCTTTTGGCTAAGATCAAGTGTACTCATAATAATCCACTTTACAGAATTGCTAAGGATTAAATAAACTAATACATGTAAATAGCCCTCTGCACACGCCTGGCACCAGATAAACACTTGATGAATAACTGGTGGAGTAGTTATCAGTTCATCAGGCCTTTCCATTTTGGAGACATGAATTGGTCAGACTTTTCTGGAAGCCCATGAAGGAAGGAGATATGATGTGCCTGGTGCTTAATGTTAGAGAAATGAACACAGAAAAGACAGGTTGGAATCAGGGAAGATTAAAGATGGTGGGGTGTGCATGAAAGTTCCATTCATGCAGATACTGCTTTTAACGGTTGCACAATCATTCATGCTCATTGAAAAGTTAAAATCTAAATAATCAATCAAATACTGCCCTCATAAAACTTCCCTGACTCACGCTGGCTGGAAAAACACTGTTCTGGTTGGCAAGTGTTTCAGTCTTTGCATTTCTCTAACTCACAAACCCATCTCTTCTTATTCAGAGAGATGTACCTAGAACAGTATGGAATGAAGATCACAAAATCTATTCTTACTCATAGAGATGTACTTAGAATAGCATGGAATGAAGGCCTTAAGGAAACTTTGAACACACAGAAGAGAATGTGCTTCATAAATCCAAGAGAATTTTATGATTGTCATTTAAGCTAATATCCACATTTCATATCTAAGCGTTTTAGTCAGAGAACATGAATGGGTAAAGGCAGTAGCAGTGCTATGAGGGTTGTACAGAGGCGGAGAAGGGAAAATATGGAGAGGGTAGGAGGAGGGAGTTAGGAGACAGTCATCTCAGGCCTAGCCAGGCTGCCTCATGCTTCTCAAGCATGCCTGGGAAGTGTTCTTCCACCCAGAGTAAACTAACTGCTAGAACCTCCTTTCCTCTATCAATAACCTAGGAAGACATGGCCCTATCCCAAATATGCCCAGTCACCACCCTCGACCACACATTGTCATGACAGACCATCTCCAAATTTGGACAGGGATAATGGATGTCACACTTCATGGTTCCTAGTTCCTATTAAATGTTTCTAATCTTTTGTCATTTCCCAAGGCTTTCAAGCAGAGCAAAGAATCCTTGCAGGGCTGCCGATGTAGTTTTTCTTTTCTCCTCTCAAAAGGACTGAGTTTGAGTTTAATTCCAGAAGAGAGAATTCTTTCCACATCTCCCTGTTCAAACAGAGAATTCCCAGAAGAGGGATCTGTATTACTGACATCATGTCTTAGTGTTGGAAAACAGTGAGCACTTATTCCGGGCTTTCAGAGTGAAGGACTACAAGACGACGTCCCTCCCAACCTGGCTTCAGGTTTATTTTCCCATATTTACTCCGGTATGCTACTTGTCAGCACATTCAACTTCTTATTTTTCTCCAAACTCCTTTCATGACCTCTCCAGATCACAGGCAGGACGGTGTGACAGAAGGACAGTGGGCATCGGGATCTCCCAAAATTAGGTCCACATCCCAGTTTTGAGCATTCTTAGATGTGACCTTGGGCAGGTAACTGAACCCCTCCAAGCTTCAGTGTCTTTGTTTGTAAAGATAGGGAGAAGACAGACCTACCCTGTAGGACTTCTGAGGTGATTAATTGAAGTGTTTACCTGACAGTCCTTAACAGTATCTGGATCTTGGTAAGAAGCCAATAAATGCAAAGTCCCTTGGGATTCTCTGTGCAGTGTGTTGCTCCCCATCCTTCACATGTAACTCAAACTTTATGAAGGCAGCTCTTTTGCCCTTTTCCATGTTCCCACAATACATCCACTTCAGGACATACCACGCAGTGTTCCAGTGATCTATTTGCACATCTGTTTCATTTACTTATCTGTGGACTCATTACAAACTTCTTGAAGGTGGGGATTATATCTTAATCACCTTTATAATACCAGCAACTGGCCTAGAGCCAGCCATACAGCTGATACCCAGTAACTGTTTGTTGAGTGAATGAATCAATGAACAAATAACTGCTCAGCAACCACTCCAATCTGAGTTGTGCAAGAGATAAAGAAGATCCTGTCAATGCTAAGGTTAAGTGAACCATAACCCGTCACAATGTAGGGTCTTCTGATGAGGTAGGACATGCCCATCTCATCAGAACAGAAAAAAACATCATGAAATACTGTATCAGTCAATACTCTTGCTGGATCACCAGAAAGCCTGTCTGGCTCATTTGTTTCAAAGTGGACAAAAGAGCAGGAAATTCTTTCAGATTTAATAACTTCCACTTACATATTTTCTAACATAATTATCACTGCTAGGTTTAATCACAGTTACTTTTCCTATGTTATCTAAAATGCTTTGTAGATGAATTCATGGGTGACATCAAAATCCAAATTTTTCTAAGTAGAGCATTTTTTTAAAAAAATCTCACTATCCAGTGATGCCATTAAAATCTCCTCTTCTACCAGACTATATTGATCTCTCATTTTTCTTTAATTGTACCAAATTAGCACTTGATTCTCTAAACATTGTACCATCTAGCTGAAGTGGGTTAAAGGTAAATGTCTTAGGAATTACACTTTTTATCCTTTACCATTCTCTCCACACATGCACACTGCATTTAGCAGAGAGCTAAGTTCAGATAAGATGCTGTGGGCTGACGGGTAGGGTAAAGCCAGAAAAAGAGCCCTCAGCCCAGATGACCTGGTCCTGCCGGCCCTCCCAATCATTCTTGACCAGGCAGAACTTCCTGATCATTTTTTCATTCATTCCTCCATTTTGTCTACTAACACTTAAAAGTATCTGCTTTGTAGTGGATCAAACACTTGACATTTAACATGAATTCTATCACTTAATCCTCCCAGAATATAGTCAACATAAAAGATGGAGATTTTGTCTTTCTGTATCTTAGAGGTCATATCTAAACCTTGTCTGGTTACTTGTTCATTCATGTATCTATCGTGGACCAGAAATAGGCATGGAATTGTACCCCACAAAGTTTCACCTACAGCCCCAACTGCCAATGCCAACTCCTTTCAGTGCAGAGTGAGCCATTACAGAGTGAAGTCAGGAGAGCAGGATCTCCCAGTGTTCACATATGCACACCCCTGCTTCCAGGTATTCAGTATAATTAGGCAAAGGGCTAACATCACAAATAGGGCCTGGCTGATGTTTTCTAGTCAATTGTGGCTATCAAGTTGGTCTGAACAGTTGATCAATCCCATATCCAGCCTTTTTATCTTTTTAATTCCCCACTATATTCTGAGGAAGATATTGAGACTGTGTGATTTGAAAGTATTCTCAGATATTGGCTTAGAGTATGAGAGCTGGAAGAGACCTTAGATAGTTACAAATGACCTCACTTTCTGAATAAAATGATTGAGGCCCACAGAAGGTAAGGGGATTGCACAGAAGGTCACACAGAGCTGGGACTGTAACCAGCCCTACTCTCAGCCAGAGTTCTTTCCACCAGCCCGTTCTGCCTCAGAGTCATGCGTGCTTTCGGTTTCTAAGACGGTTATCACATCTCACTCTTTCTACCAAGTAACTCAACCTCTGATGGAGAATCTGAGAACCAACACACATGAAAACCAAATAAACTGCCAACACTCCTTACAGGAGAAAACCAGAAGAAACACATCTCTCTGGTGTTGTGGACATATCATCAATCCCAACAGTCTGCTGAGAGGCAGCTGAGTGTGTGGCAAGTGCACACTCTGGGGTTGGTTCAGCAAGACTCCAATCTTCCAGGGCACCTAACCTCTTCAACACCGTTTCCTCACTTGCTCAGTGGGTGTGGCTACGCCGCGCTGAGGATGAAACAGGAACATGCATGTGAAGTTCTGTGCAGCGGGCAGTGTCGAGGCAGTGCTGGTCCCTTGTCCCTTTTCTTTGACAGAAGTCACCAGCAGAGGTCTGGAAGTCAGTTCTTCAATGACAACTGCCTTCATTTGAAAGGAACTAGCTCCTAAGAAGGCAGCTGAGAATCAGAAGATGTGGTGGCAGTTGAGATGGTATCTACTTCAAAAGTGCCTGTCATTGTAGATGTGGCTGTGTGCACAGGGAGTGGGGGTATGGAGCTGCTGCTGGTCTAGACATGTGCGGCGATTTCCTGCTGGCAGTGTGACACAAAGAACAGGAAATACCACCTCAAGGGTGGTGTGTCATTTTCAAACCATAAAAGACCAAAATTACATATGTATGTATACGGTGGTATTTCCTTAAAAGGGAGGGTGGAGTGGGAGGGGGAGAGTGTGTGTGTGTCAGAGAAGGAGGCAGAGTGGAGAGGCAGAGAATAGAGGTAGGAGAGTGAAAAGGAATCCATCATCTTAATGTCTGCTGCACTGCTGTTCTGTGAAACATCTCCACCTGGGAGTTGAGGAAGCTGAACCATGCTCTGCGGTAGTAAGTAGGCCCAGCACTTGTGGTTACAGGCAGAGGGGCAGCATGAAGGACACTTGTGGTGGCAACAGTGTCCCGGAACTGTTATATTCTCAACTGTGACACCAGAGCCACCAGAGTGGATATTCCTTTGGGTTCAAGCCCATGTTTTACCATTTGTAAATGGTTGAGCACCTTAGGGACTGGACACCTGCCCTGTATAGCACTGGTTTTCCATGAAGTCAGGATAGGGGTTAACATATAAACTAAATCACCTTCAAAGTGTCTTGAAGAAGCTTGGATGTGAACAATTCAAAGCACTGTTTATGTTAGGCAAAGCAAATGGATTTTAGCTTGAAGGTCAAATCTCGCTGACAGCCATCCTGTAAAGGATCCCAAAGAAGTGTGAGATCCTGTGGGCAACAGTGCTATACTCATTAGTGATGTCCTGGTGGCTCTAGGAGGGTCACACTCCAAAGTTCATAAAAAACTAGCATTTGCAAGAATAGCCTAAATTTTAGTGGCGAGTTTTGCCTTTCTAATGATGCTTTGCTTAGGCTAATACTACAATCACATAATTTGTGTTTGTAAGCCACATGCAAACTAGCAGAACTAGACCACTGAAAAATCACATTAAGGAAATAAAGTAGACTTTTTTTAAAATTTGCAACAGATAATCCATTAAATGGACTGAGGCCATTGGATGGTAAATTTCTTCAGGGCTAGGATCCTGTATTCAATCATCCTGGAACCCCTTCCACACTGTCCAGAGCAGTGCCTTGTTCTTACAGGTGGTCAGTTAAATTTCAGTGCATTAAATAACTGAGTTTTAGAAACAATTTCCTTCTAAAGAATCAGATTACTAATCATAGTCTTTGGGTTTTAGGTGGAGTGGTAATGAAGGAATTAAAATTAGCCATCTCCTGAAACTGGAGATCATTATGCTAAGTGAAACAAGCCCAACACAGAAAGACAAATATCATGTTTTCTCTCATATGTGGAAGTTTATAGAAAGAGAGAGCATACAAAATAGTGAAATAAAAAATATACATGCTTTGAAACATGGTATCTCATAAGTATGTACAATTCTTATGTATCAGTAAGAAATATGAAACTTTTCTGAATTAAAATATACCCATCACCTATTATGTGCCAGGAAAACCAATAATTCTGTGACTAAGTTTGTTATGGTCATTCCCAGTCTCTAGGTTGAAGCTCAGAGAAGTAATTTGCCAATTAAGCAAAGCTGATTACCGGTGGAGATGAGATTCAAGCTCATGGCAGTTTTAACTAAGATCCATGCAGGTGAGTGCAGAATCAAACACTCACCATTCCCTTTTGAAAGAACAACAATGAACAGCATGGGCCAGAGGGAAAGCACTGGACCAAGAGGTTTTCTATCACGGCTTTGCCACAAACCTGTGTGGCCCCAGGCAGGTCATTTCCTTTTTGGGGGCTTTACCTTCTCGATCTGTAAATGGACCAAAACAACACCTTTCCAGAGCTATCAGGCTAACACTCTGATGGAACAGGCAAAGACAAACAGCTGAGGGATGGCAAAGGGGCCGGTAAACAAAAACCCATGGAGCAGCCTTCTCAGAGGGCGGGGACTGATTTCTTATTCCACCAGCCCAGGAGCGGAACAGCCTCATCTCAAGTGCCTTCTGCCCTGAAGCAAATAGGGAGTCAGAGCCAGACTTTTCTAGTGTGGAGGAGGTCACAGGCTGGGCCTCTTCCAGTGTCCACAGGCCTGCTTACCCTCAGGGAACCCTGTCACTCCTTCACAGCCCCAGGGTCCTGCGTCTGCCCATGACCAAGTCCACATGAGGTGCTAGGTACCTTATTAGAAAATTCCCCAGAGAAATGATGAAAGGCAGGGTTTAAGTCACACCAGAATTTTCACCACCCAAGCCACCTTCTTATCATTTATGCACAAAAATGAAAAACAAGGGCAGCACCATCTGAACCGCTAGGGCACCCTCAGAAGCAACAGACAGGAGGGGACTCAGCAGTTTTGTCCTGACTGTAGACTGGCTGGTGCCAGAGCATACACACTCACAGCCCTTGCAAGGCTTAGCACCAGATAGAACTGCATTTGGGGTGGGTGGGGGGGCCTTTTTATAAAGTGCCCAAAAAAGTGTTTCTACTCAGACAGAATCATAGAAATACAGAGAAGATGTACCAGCCTGGAATTCCAGGGGCAAACAACAACAACAACAACAACAACAAAAAAAAAACCACAAACACGGGGGGAATGGATGGATGGTGAATATTATTATAATTTAGCTAGAGAATATAATCACAGACCATAAACATCAACTTGTAGGTGGAAGGACTCAAAGGCACTTGCATCTCCCCAATATTTACAGTCCCATATCCAGAGACAGCAAGGGAGAGGCAACACAGTGTCATCTCTACTGCTTTCTTTACAGGTCTTCCCAGCTTGTCTACCAAGAAGATAAAGGCATTTCCACTTTGTATTATGCTGCAAGAGTCAATTCTATATTTTCTCCATTCTGCTCTCTTCCCCTATTCCCAAATGAGTATAACTGTCTGGCTTTGTCAAATCTCAGGATTGCTGTGAAGAACACAAAAGGATAACATCCATAAAAAGAATTTATAAACTCTGAATGGGTAAAAGGATTAATGCTAGCAAAGGGCCACAATGGCTGGATTGGTGTCAACCTCCTGCCCAACCCCTGGGCCCACCACTTGCAGATACACAGAGCACTGCAAGTGACTTGGGGTGACAGCATGATACCCACCACCTACTGCTAACACCTGTCACAACACATGTTCCCCCCTCACACCATGGCAATCAACTCCATCCCCGTTGCCACAGTCCAGGATGGATGTCTCAGGGAGAGGAGGTGGAGTTAGTGAATGAGTACCTGAAGATCAGGATTTGGTTCTTACTTCAGACACCTACCAGTTGTATGATCTTGATCAAGTCACCTGACTTGCCTTAAAGCAAATTTCCTCACACATCAAATGGGGTAATTATATACCACTATGCCCTCGAACTACACAAGAGTGTGTGAGCTCATAAGAAATAATGGGCATGTTGAGCACCATCTATATACAACATACTATTAGTAACCACAACTGGACATTTGGTAGTGTTTGACATGAATTTCAACATATTCTTTCATAAAGTATCCATGTTAAGCTAGGGTCCAAATAAGGAAAATGGTATAGATAAATCCATTGTTCATGGTCTTTGTGTGCCAGGGAGTAAGAACATGGCTTATAGTCCTTTTGGATAACTCCTGGGAAAAAAATTAAAATTACTATTACTACCTCACACTTTGAAAGCCTTTCAAAGTCCGAGATTATGTAGGCAGTAAAAGGCAGGACCTGGACTAAGCCCAATTCTTCAGCAGTCTGGTTTAGTGCTCTTTCTAACACAAAGGTAAGTGAAAGTAGTAGGAATGTTGACATGTAACATTTGGGTTCCACCCAACAAGGATCATGTGTCAAAGTTACCACTTCTGTTTATGGCACTCAAGCCAAATGAAGGATTGCCTCTGTCATCAAGTACTTTTAATTTTGCTGTTAAAATGAATTCCAACATTTTTGAAGGTATGCAAAAAAAAAAGTGAGCTAATTCTTCATTTTAAAAAAATTTAGAAATTAAAATAAATTCTAATTTGGTTCACAATTTAGTAAAATATGGATTCAATTTTTTTAAGTGCTTATAAATATACACATATATGTAAATGTAGATGTATGTATATGGTTGAATATATTTTAAACTCGAAGTTTCATATGTTAAAGCAGTTTAGTTTTTTAATCAAGATCCTATTTCTTCCAGGAGTCCAATGGGATAAATTTTGAGACAGCAAGCAGAGAAAAGTTCTGTCCAGGAAGTGTATCTAAAATTAGATCCCGTAAGTTTAGGTTCCAAGTCAGAACTACCACTTAGGGTTGAGTGCCTCTTCCTTCCCTCAGATCCCTGACTTCTCTGGCCCCTTACCTTACTCTCTCCTCTTCCGTCTTCTTGAGAGCAGCGTCCCGCTGCAGAACCTTCATGATAGCCTCTTGTTCCTCCTCGGTCAGGAAGCTTAAGTCAATCATTTTGAAAAGTGTACACAAAAAATAATAGTAACGAGTCAAATTCTCAGGGCTAAATCAGTAGACTGCAACCAAGAAGATTAGAAGATGCAAAAATGTCTTGTTCCGTTCTGCAAGAAGTCTTGTTTTGCCTCAGCAAAAGTTCTGGGCAGCTGATAGTAAAATCCAAAGTGCCCTTTCCCACGAGGAAGTAGTAGTTCATGGGACGATGCGGAGAACAGGCTCCCAGAAGGATGCCGATGCCACATTCCTTGCCAGACTGGTCGCTTGTTCCTACAGCAGCATTCTTAGCACACTCCCTCCCTGAACCAGTCTTAAGGCTCTGTTTACTCTCTCTCCACCTTCGAGGTCAACTTGATGAGAGGCAGCAGCACTGGAGTACCACCTACCTGGAGAATCAAAAGACAGTAAACACCAGACAGTGAGGGGTAGTTCCTGTAAGCATTGCCATTATGATAAGGTTTCTAAATGACCATGTTAGTCTCTGAGATCAGAGAAACCTGTTCTGCTGGCTTCCTAAGCAAATGGTCATGAAACATGCTTCTACCCCATTCCAGACTGCCAAGATGGAGAGCACACAAAAATGCCTGTCAATGTTTAACAATCCACCTGAAAGAAAGATGACTGTAAAAATGACTGGTTCTTTCTCTCCGCAAACTCCTGGGACACTAAAAAGTCATGTGATTCCAGTTATCAAAATATTGTAGATAAGAAAAATTGTAAATGCTCATCTCTTCACAAGTAGGAACATTCCACAGGAGTATCCGGCTCCTTAATGACTGTATTAGGTAGAGACAGTTTACAGAACAACGGCAGCTGTTATTATTTACACAGTCACACCTCTAACCTTTCTTGGGGTTGGAGAACCTACCAAGTTTGTCTCCATTTCTGAGGGGAAAGAGCATTTACTAGTGTGTATATATAAACCAGAGGAAAGAAAGGGAGAGAATTTCAGAACATACCACCATCCAAAGGGAGCACGTTTGAATAGAAACATGTGTCAGAATCCTGATCTTTTTTTTGAGATATTTTAAACACACATGTAATGAGAAGGTGAGCCCTAAAGAATGCCACGGCCAGACAGGACTTCAGAAGTTGGAACCTTTTTAACAAGTGCAGTGCTGCGTATAGAGTGGATATTAAAATTCACACGTCAGGTGGGCATTTGATACAGTGGTTAAGCCACCACTTGGGATGCCTGCAGCCCATAGCAGAGTGTCTGGGTTTGAGTCCCTGCTCTGCTGTCTCCATTCCAGCTTCCTGCTAATGCACACTCTGGGAGGCAGCAGGTGAGAGCTCAAGGAGCAGGGTCCCTGCCATCCATGTGGGAGACTCAGATTGAGTTCCCTGGCCCCTGTCTTTGGCCTGGCTGTTGTGGCTATTTGAGAGAGTGAACCAGTAGATGGGAGAGTTCTTTCTGTCTCTGTCTCTGCTTTTCACAAAGGAGAAAAAATGCTTTTCTTCATAAAAAAATAAAAGCCATCTATTTAGTAAATTTTTAAAGCAACCCTACCAAAGAATACAATAGAATGTGTATACTAGTAAGTGAATGATTTATATGGATAAATCCCTTACAAAACAGAACTACTTGGAAGTACTCCCTCTACTACTTGCTAGCTATAAGCCATAAGGCAAGTCATTGCAAATCCAAGATTCAGTTTTCTCATTTGTACTGCTTCACATTATGAATTTCCTCATGGACTGTAAGGATTCAATTGAATGATGAATGTAAAATGTATTAATTATGTTAGATGTGTTATGAAACTAATAATTATTATAACATATATGTTGCATCCTGTACCAAACTTAGCTACTAAAAATATCTTCTAGCTTCCTTTTTGAGTTCACACTTTTGGTCTGTCCAGCTGAATAAGACTGGAGTTGGTTATATATTTTTTCTCTTTTGTATTATATCGCTTTCTGATCTTCCCATTAAGTTTAGACTTCATAGACTGGTATTCTGATGACCTTTATCTTCTTGTAATTCTTTGTATATTGTGACTATTCAAATAAATATTAAGACAGTACTCCATTATCTTTATAATATTTGCATATACTTATGTATGCTATTGTCTACATGTTCATTTTTAAAAATTTTTTTAAAAATTTAAGTTATTCAAATTTCATGTATTTCATATATACAGATTTAGGAACATAATGATACTATCCTCCCTTCCTGCCCATGCTCCAATACTTCTTTCTCCTCCCTCTCAGATTCTCACTCTTAATTTTTACAAAGATCTATTTTCAATATACTTAATGATCATATAGTAAAAGAGTTCAACAAATAGTATGAAGACAAAAAAAACAAACAAAAAAAAACAAAAAACACTGTTCCTCAAGGGAAAAGACAAGGGCTGTAAACAAGCTTGAAAACTAATCATTTGGCTAGCGCTGTGGCTCACTTGGTTAATCCTCCACCTGTGGCGCTGGCATCCCATATGGGCGCCAGGTTCTAGTCCCGGTTGCTCCTCTTCCAGTCCAGCTGTCTGTTGTGGCCCGGGAAGGCAGTGGAGAACGACTCAAGTGCTTGGGCTCCTGCACCCGCATGGGAGACCAAGAGGAAGCACCTGGCTCCTGGGTTTGGATCGACGAAGGTCCCGCTGTAGCGGCCATTTGACGGGTGAACCAATGGAAGGAAGACCTTTCTCTCTCTGTCTCTCTCTCTCTCACTGTCTAACTCTATCTGTCAAATAAATAAAAAAGAAAACTAATCATTCTTCAAGACAAAGTTATCACCTCCTGGATCCATTTCCTTACTGCCATACCCAGAGTGAAATGCTGTGGTAGATTCAATCCTTGTTTCTAAGTCCCCACGCCCTCCCTATATCAGAACTATATAGAACCATGTTCCCTCCAGAGTAAGCAGGGCATTCATCCCTACCCTTCTGATGTTGACCGTGGCCTGTGACCTGTCTTGGCCAATGAAATGAGAGCAAATGTAATGTATGCACAGGCTATCCATGTGCTTGTGTGGTTTGATATGACTGTACTCCTGACATGTGCCATGAGAATGACTTGCCCTGGGTATCCACTGCCTCTCCATTCTGGATTCCAGAAAGAGAGATACAAGAACATACCTGAATCAGACCTTTGGAAACAAGGCCACCCCAGCTGGCTTATAGAAAGCAAGAAATAAGGGCCGGCACTGCGTGTAGCAAGGTAAGCCTCTGCCTGCAGCACCAGCATCCCTGGTGCACTGGTTCATGTTCCAGCTGCTCTTCTTCCACTCCAGCTCTCTGCTGAAGGCCTGGTAAAGCAGTGGAAAATGGCCCAAGTTCTTGGGCCCCTGAACCCATGTGGGAGACCCAGAAGAGGCTTCTGGCTCCTGGCTTCAGATCAGCTCAGCTCTGGCCATTGCAGCCATTTGGGGAGTGAACTAGCAGATGGAAGACCTTTCTCTCTGTCTCTCCCTCTGTCTGTAAACCTACCATTCAAATAAGTAAATAAATCTTAAAAAAAAAGAAAACAAGAAATAAACATTTATCATTGGAAGTCATTGAGGTTTAAAGGTTGTTATACAACACTTTCATAATAGGAACTTGACCAGTGTAAAAGCTTTCTCTTCCATACACAAGTCTACTGTCCTAATTGTCTTCTCTTCATCTCTTTACTTGACTGCAAGTTTCTGAATATGAAGAAATAAGTGAATGAGTAAATGAGTGAAGAACCTAGTCAAAATACACACCATCATCAGGAGATGGTTATCTCAATTCTTCCCTTTGTTTCTTGCATGGTAACTTCCTAAGACCTCAAAGGCTGGCAAAGAAATGGATTTGGGCCATATTCTGGGAACTGTATTTCCAATGAGGTTCAATGGGAGATTGTTTTTTATTTTTTAAGATTTAAAAATTTCTTTTATTTATTTGAAAGAGTTACAGAGAAAGGTAGAGACAGAGAGAGAGAGAGAAGTCTTCCATCTGCTGGTTCACTCCCCAAATGGCCAGAAATGCCAGAGCTGAGCCAATCAGAAGCCAGGAGCCAGAAGCCTCTTCTGGGTCTCTTACATGGGTGCAGGGGCCCATGGACTTGGGCGATCCTCTGCTGCCTTCCCAGGTGCACCAGCAAGGAGCTGGATCTGAAGTGGTGCAGCCCATACTCAGACTGGCACCTATATGGGATACCAGTGCCACAGGCCAGAGCTTTAACCCACTGCACCACAGCGTTGCCCCTATTTAAGATTTACTTAATTTACTTGAAAGGTAAAGTTACATAGAAAGAGAGAGAGGGAGAGACAGAGACAGAAAGTTTGTCCATCAACTGGTTCACTCCCCAATGGCCTTAGTGACCAGGGCTGGGCCAGGCCAAAGCCAGGAGCCAGGAGCTTCTTTCAGGTCTCCCATGTGGGTGCAGGGGCCCAAGCACCTGGCCATCTTCCATCGCTTTCCTAGACTTATTAGCAGGGAGCTGGATTGGAAGTGGAGCAGATGGCCGGCGCCACGGCTCAATAGGCTAATCCTCTGCCTTGTGGCGCCAGCACACCAGGTTCTAGTCCTGGTCCCGGTGTCGGATTCTGTCCTGGTTGCCCCTCTTTCAGGCCAGCTCTCTGCTGTGGCCAGGGAGTGCAGTGGAGGACGGCCCAGGTGCTTGGGCCCTGCACCCCATGGGAGACCAGGATAAGTACCTGGCTCCTGCCATCGGATCAGCACAGTGTGCCAGCCGCTGCACGCCAGCCACGGCGGCCATTGGAGGGTGAACCAACGGCAAAAGGAAGACCTTTCTCTCTGTCTCTCTCTCTCACTGTCCACTCTGCCTGTCAAAAAAAAAAAAAAAAAAGGAAGTGGAGCAGCTGGGACTCGAACCAGCAACCATAAGAGATGACGGTTCTGTGGGTGGAGGTTTAACCACAATGCTAGCTCCTTATTTATTTCTTTGAAAGTCTCTTAGAGAGAGAGAAAGAGATCTTCTATCTACTGGTTCACTCCCCAAATGGCCTCAATAGCTGAGGCTGGGCCAGGCAAAGCCAGGAGCCAGGAGCTTCATTGGGGTCTCCCACATAAGTGACAGAGGTCCAAGCACTTGGGCCATCAGGGAGCTAGATTGGAAGTGGAGTTACCAGGACTTGAACTGGTGCCCAGCTCAAGCTGCTTTACCTACTATGCCACAGCACCAGCCCAGGAGATTATACTTAAATTCAAGATAGGACTGTAAAGGTATAAAGACAAAACAAAACAAAACAAAACAAAAAAACCTTACATGGCCAGTATTAGTAACTGGCAGAGTTGCTGAAGGGGAAATGTTGGTTTCCACACCTTTAAGAAGTACAAGCTACCAGTGCTTATGTGTAAGTTTCCAAGGGTTAAAAATTCTCTCTTAAAGTAGGTTATTATTGACAAAAAGTAGTGTTCTTATTTTCTAGACAAAGGAGGAAAGGGCTGGAACCTTTTCC